CCCCATTTCCCAAAAACGTCAACAAAGAGAATTATTCTGGAAAAAGGGAAAATAAAAGAACCAGGAAAGAGAGAAAATCAAATCAAATGGGTCAAACCTAAAACCCAGATCTCAAATATGCCAAAGGAACCCACTTTACAAAAGAAAGGAAATCCAAATTGAACAAATTTAAGAATTTCCTTCAAGAATCAAAAGTCTTTCACTGCAGCACAATTAATAGCAAATCAAACCCACCACACCAAATGCTCATTTACTCAAATTCTAGTAAATCCAGAACATAGTGGTATTGATTTTCTCAGCCCCACTCACTCACTCACTCTCTCTCTATCTCTCTCCCTCTCTCTTACTTTGACTCAATCTACAGTTGCTTTCTCTCTCTACAATCTTCCACGCCAATCGCTCCTAAACAAACAGAGAGAAAGAACATTGACTTTCACAAACCAAACGTAAAATGATGTTATTTATTCATTTATTTATTTAATTTTTTTTCCCAAATTTTTAATCAATCCGTAATAATCAGGTTAGTTGGTTTTTCGCTGTGTTGGTGGTGGGACCCGCGGAAGCCACTATCCTTCCTTTCCATGGTCGCGCCATAAAAGTCAAATAATCAGGTGGCTTTGTACAAAAGCTGATTTCTGTCCAACCAGGCAGGCAGCTGCATAATTCTTGTTTCAATCTCAAATTAAACTTTACTCTCAACAAAGTTCTTAGTATTGAAATATATCTCCATAATTCCATTTCTGTGATTATTACAATTTCATAGGGAGATTTTGATCTTCCCTTCCCTTGCAAATATTATTATTCTCAAAAGACTTTAAAATGTGATTGGAAAAAGAAAAAAAAAGTACTTCAAAGGTGTGTTTTTCAGTTTGAAAAGAATGTGAGAAGGTTGTTTTTCTACCAAGGAATTGTTTTTTTTTAGATAACCTCGACAGTACGATGAAAACTTTATTGATAAAAAATGCATCTACAATAAATAACATCAAGTGGTTTGAAGAACCACCTGACCCCTAGTACAAGCATCCATAATAAGTAATATCAGGTGGTTCTTCAATACCTAACTCCGAGTACAAGCATCCACAACAAGTAACATCATGAGGTTATTCAAACCACTCAACCTCACCAATGAATTGTTTAGTGTTTAGGATTGGAGTTTTTGACTACTTGGTTCTTAACACTTACTAATTTCCAAAGAAGAAAAAAAAAAGGAAAAACAATTATAGGTCTATGAAGCATTCCCCAAACATGTCAATTAAAATTTTGGATGGTATTTTTGTTTACTACAAGATTCTGCCCCTACTTTGATGGGTATGTCTATGGTGTGAGAAATGCTTTCTCTTTTTTTAAAAACAAGCTAGGATTTATACAAGTTTCCTTTTTTTTCCCCAAACAAATAAAGAATAGCAATGCAAAATCTTATAAAATAAAATGCAAATAAACTTCTGTGCAAATTGTCCACTTGCTCTCTTTTTTTTTATAGCAAAGTTAATAAGCATATTCTCTCATGAAAAAAAGAAGTTAAATAATTAAGCATATTTGTCCACTACGATAAAGTGACATCTTAGTCAACTCTTACATCAATCAATCAGAAAGAGTTTTAATTTGTCTTTGGTTTCCTTTGTTTAATGCTTCTCGGATGCTAACCCCACAGGATAATAAACGAATAAAAACTTTAACAACACTATTTTTGTTCAAATTAAAAATAAATAATAAAAAAAGTAAACCCTTAATTTGTTGTTTTGTAATTTGGTTATTAGTCCATGTATTTTTATTTTTTTTATTTCAACATATATGTTATCCTTGTAAGTTGTATCCATCATGAATACGCAAAAGACTTTTTTTATTTTTTTTATTTTATAAAAATAAATTTCTTGTCCTCTTCTCTATTGGTGCAGCTAGAAATGAAACAGCTAATTCTTGATAAACAGAATATCTTAAGCTCATCCTTGGTGTATATTATTGTAGTTATGGCAGGCAGGCCTATCGTCTAGAGATTTGGTAGAAAGTGGGAAGGCTCAAACTTAATTATGTAGGCCCCTTGTTTCTTTATGAATAAATTTATACAAAAAAAAAATCTTCACAATAAAACAATGTTGAAGAGAAGAATATTTGTTCTATTTTTTTATTTTTATTTTTAAGTGCAGTTTCATTAAGAAATAAAGTTGAAATACAAGAGGATTACTTGAAGAATACAATCATAAGAGGTTCTTGCATACAAGAATCGAGAAAAATAAAGCACTTCAAGACAACGAGTAAACTAATTAGGAATTTAGCTTACTCAGAGTCAAAGTTGGAGAGAATTCATAAGGACTCAAATCAAGTCAGTATTGAATACATCATGGTGGAGAAACAAGATTAATGGATGTTTTGAAAGACTTATTAAAGGCTAAATATATGATGGATTTGAAGAAGGATACTGATGAGGAGGAACTTCCTTCTAGATATGAATGCACGACACAAAATTTCCCTAATAATTTCGTACTAATTGCAATTTAATGCGACAAGGTTTATTGCTTTGTTGTAGTTAATAAAAAAATACATATCACGTTAGTTATTACGAAAAAAGTTTGTCACGGTTTGGTAAAGAAAGCAAAAACATTCTACTTTATTGTGAACTCAATGGGATATTGACAGGTGGAATTCATTTTTGTATGGCCTTAATGGAATCTTATCAGAATTATGGATGTTCACTTTCCATATAGAAAAAGTTTTTTAATAATCATTGTTGTTGATTGTTCGTTTGTTGTATTTGATATTATTGGTGTTCTTATTAGGATTATTGGTGTTGAGAAAAAAGAGAAAAAAATAAAGAATAAAATGATAATCCTATTTAATGTTTTAAGTTGGCAACGAAGGTAACATTTTTCATATTTTTTGAAGAGGGAGGATTCGAACTTAAACTTAAATATTATTGATATTCTAAACTAGGAGCTGGTTGATATTCTTTTAGTGGTGGCGTGGAACCACACGCCGTCGCCGTTGCCGTTACATAATGTGTGTTGTAGGAAGAAGGGGCATGCACCCCTACTCTTGATGAGTGAATGAGTTGCTGCGATTCTTCCTGAATAGCCTGGATTCTACCGGCGAGAGTCACTTTGAAAGTATTACCTAAACACAACAACATCCAAGTTTTTTGTTTCTTTGACCAGAAATAGCATCCAAGTATAATAACAAGGCTCTCAAAGTATACAGACATACAAATGAGACAAGTCACAAGTATACAGCTCCTTTGGATTCCCCTCTCCTCAATAGGAGAGACTTAGTGCACAAAACCCTAGAACCTGTCTCACAAGGGCCAATTTGCAGTACTATAGTTTACTTTTCAACTTTGGACTGAATTATATATTGACTACTAACTAAAAGTTAAAGCAAAAAACAAAAAGTCAAAAAGAAAAATATATATATTTCATTCTTTTTTTAATCAAATAGTAATTTTCTTGGCCAACCTTTGCCGTATATAATTGTTTGGCCTTGTTATTGAGAATCTTACTTGCAAGTGAAAGAAGCTCAAGAATTCAACTACGAGTTCAAACATTTTATTTTTAAATGTGAGATAATTGAGTTCTTATCAAGAAAATAAAGTCAAACATTCAAAGCCATGCCTATGTATAATTTGGAAATATTATAGTCATAAATATACTTAACTAATTACATTCGTTTCGTTATCGTGATTGCAACATGTAATAATTTTCCATCAAATTGATACAAATCAGAAATCTCTCTTCTGACTTAATATTAGAAAATTCTTAAAGAACACATTTTTCTTTTTTAATTTTTGGTTGAAATTCTAAAAGGACACGTTACTTATACTTGAAACAAAGGCAAATTCTTTGACATTGTTGGGATGGGATGGTTTTGATCCTTTTTATATGACAAATGCAGCTTTTAAGTTGTATGTATATAAATTATATCATATCGAAGCCAGCCTAAGAATTCGAACATATCCATAATGAATCATGCATGGTTGACCAACGTTAAGCTTTTGAATAATCACAAATTCCTTGTCAAATCACGAGGGAGGACTTTTAAATTAGCATGCTTCCTTCCTACCCCAAAAAAAATTCCAGAAAAAAGAAAAGGGTTAAAGGGGCTTTGCATTATGGCCACGACCTTAGCTCATGGTATCCATGCCCAACTAGGTAAATGTAAAATGATGAGACTCGAAGCACAAGAACACCAACTTTGCCAAAAGTGGGATAAGCTAAGGGATCTTTTTGTTGCAAGCAATGAGTAAAAGATGATCTCTTTTTTTGTTATCAAATGCTTTTGTTCTTTTCTTTTTCAACCTCTCCTCCCCCTTTTTTTTCTTCTTCAGATATTGGATTCTCTTCATGTTTTGCTTCAATGTACTTATACACTAAAAGCTTATTTTCGTTTCCCTTTTTTCCCAACAACTATCATTTATAGAAAAGACTTCACTAACTAAGTTGGAAATTGGTTTAGTACCATACTTATTTGAAATTTTTAGAATTCATTTTGGGTTTGTGATGATTAAGGTTAGGGAAATGAGCAATTAGGAAATTGATAATCATTGTTGTAGAATAAATGACGTCCACATGGAGTTAGATGTATGTCATGTGGTTAGGAGATGTTTTGCCTAGTATCCAATGAAATTGATAAGCAATTGCGTTTTCCTTTTTAGCTTATAGCACAAAAGTGATTTCTAGCCCAGCTTAAGCTCAGGTCGACGGTCAACTTAGGAACTGTTGGGGCCCAACTCCACCATGGGGGACAAAAGCCAGTGGAAAATGATCCACCTTCCTTCGGGATGGCCATGAGAGGCCCCTTATATATTCTGGACTGTGAAAGGCATGGGCCACTTTTAATAGTACAAAGATGAGATCCATATGAGCAGCTAGATCCTGAGATCCATATAAGTTTATTTGGAAGGCTAAACTGTAGTTTGTTATCATAAATCTCAGTTTACCAAAAGCAATTTGACAGATAGGGGAAGCAAATTAATAATTTCCAATTAAATTAACACTAATCTCAAATGTTCCTATAATATACTGAGTCATTACAAAATAGGACTTAGACAGAATTCTGAAGGTAGAAACCACAATTACATACACAAAACTCGGTTTCTTGCAACACAGGCAATTCTGCTACATTAGCCAAAATACTGGACTCTATTCTTGCCGAAACGAAGCATGCAGATTCGAAAGAACCTCATCCTCATATTGCTTGACCTCAATCCCCCAGCAATACCCTCTCAGCTACCTAGACTGGAGTTGATTACGACAGAGTGTTTGCGCCATCAGGGCTATTGGCCTTGCGCCTCTGCCTCAATCTTCCAGCTATACTGTCTGGACTTGGTTCAGCAGCAAGAGCACGCTTCTTCTTGAGCTTTGAACTTGTACCCAATGCAGTACTGATATCTCCACCATCACTAAATAGTATGCCCTTTCCTTTCTCCACTTCCTTCTTTGACAAGATTTTGTTTACCTCCTGCTCAACATCTGGAGTTTCAACTTTTGCCTCTGGTAAGTCATCACCATGGTCATTTCCTTTCCTACGTCTCTGTCTTAATCTTCCAGCAATGCTACCTGGTTCAATAGCCAGAGCAGGCTTCATTTTATGCTTTGAGCTAGTTTCATGACTGCTATCACTGAGTTTCATATCCATCAAATGTATCTCTTTCTCTTTCTCGCCTTTAAGATCATCTCTGCTGCTCTCAGATTGATGCTTTGGCAATCCAAGGTGGTCACCAACCTTGTGGTCGACCTCAGGTGATCCAAAATTTTCAGACTGTTGTATCACATCTGGAAAGGACAATGACCTCTTCGCAGAAGTTTGGTTGTTAATATCTGGATTTGAGCTACTCTGTGCATCATTCTCTTTTTCACTCTTTAACTCATCATCTCTTTTGTGTTCAGCAAGAGGTTTTATCATTCCAATGTCATTGCAATGGTCCTTGAGAATTTCTTCACATGATGCATCCACATCTGGGAAGTGCAGTGACCTTTTTGCAGAAACTTGATTGGTGGTTTCTGGATTTTCTCCTAAATTCTTCTGTGAGCGTTGGGTTTGAATGAGATAGTGTGCAACTGATTTGAAGCCTAGTTGTGTTATCTGGAAAGTAGACATAATTAATCTTAGTTCCAATGCAATGCCAGGGGACAAAAGAGATAGTTAAAAAAAAGGCATCAACTGATTTGAAGCCTAGTTGTGTTATCTGGAAAGTAGACATAATTAATCTTAGTTCCAATGCAATGCCAGGGGACAAAAGGGATAGTTTAAAAAAAAGGCAAAGTTTTGAAGGAACCTTTTTGTAGAGCACACCAGTGGGAGGCCATCCTTTTGCTGTCCGACAAAAACTACAGTTGCAAATTCCACGGCAGACAGGGCAAATCCAATCCGGATTCTGAATGGCTTCAATTACATGCTCCCCATATCTGCTCCAAGGAGATAAATGAGCTAGTATAAGTATTGGATTAACACTTTCTAGAATACATATATGGCAGCCAGGAAGCTTAGATAGGATTCCTGTGAAGCTTAGAAGGATGATTCTGTACAAACAAAATGCGTAAAACACATGTGAGGCAATACCTACGAGATGTGTGAAGTTTGCCGAACAAATTATGTTAACGTAAAATTGGGGACTATGTGTCAACCTAAAATTAGGGACATGTGCCTGAGGGGGAACCAGTAGTCAATTAGCATGCTGTGAAGTTTTGACAACCAAAACATGTGCCTAAGAGATGCATGCTAGGAATCTATAGTTTTTTTTATAGTCGAAACTAGGGATCTATAGTTATTAACCCCTTTATGACATCATAAAAAATCTGCCCAATGTTTGCAAATAGGAATGATTAAAAGCAATGGGGGCCAAACTTATAGATAGATATTAAGGCAGAGAAGAAACTTATAAGAGTATACAGTTTACCTCATGTACAAACAATCTCCACAAAACTGCCCTTGGACCTTGTCGCACTGGCTGCAGTGAGTATGATGACCCAGAGTTTTCTGCCTGTGAAACAGATTTTCAATCCTTGTTAATATACTAATACAGGGAACTAATCCACAAAAAGCTCCACTGCAACACTTGTTGCATGAGATGATATCACCTCTGGATGAGACACAGAACTTAGCAAGAAAAGGAAATTGAAATTATGGAAAGGGGAAGTTGTTTCATTAGTACTTTGTCATCTTATGAGGAAAATAATGAATTCTGGATGTTACAAACTTACAATATTTGATATTCATAAGACTTGAAGACAAAGTTTAAACTCATGTTCCTTACCGTGTTCTTTGACTAACATCTAAACTGTTCTTTCTCTATCCCTATTTATACTAAGCCCAGCATTCTCTCACTTTTCAAATAGGGCATTTACTATTTTCATTATGCAACATTTTGGCAATAAAGGTTATACCTGCATTGATGGCAAGTCTTTCCTCTAACTTGGTCATAAATTCGTTTTCCATCTTTTCCGTAACCATCCACAAATAGAGTCCAGCTCTCATCGGTGTTACCCAACAACTTTTCATGCTCTTCGGTGTAAATCTCCGGCTTTGCACCCTCCTCCAGCATAATGCCTTCCTTGTCCAAAGCCTTATCCTTCTTTGTCAAATACATCTCCGAGTAGCTTACTGGTGTCGCATTCTGCAATCTGAAGCAACAACCAAATTATAAACAATAAAATAACCTAAGAAAAAAAAAATGTCAAATAGGATTAAGAAAAAAGTATTTGAGATCCAATCCACATTCTCCAAAATCAAGTACTAGGTAGGAAGAATTCACAATCAGAAACTGTTTCAAACCACCAGAATCACAGACCCAGTCGATTAAAGACTCATTCTTTAAAGCAAAACATGTATCATTCAAAACAATAAATAAAAATTTGAGAACCCATGGAGCATTCGAAGTCAGAAATAGTGTAAGACAGTAAAACCCACCAGATCAGAAACCCAGTTGGTTAAAAGTTTTAACTTCTAAGCCCCAAATGTATACACAAGTCATTTGTAACTTAAAAAGAAAGCATTTTTCTCAACATCAACAAACAGATTCATGCAGTCTATGCAGAGGCAGAAAGCAAACAAAGACCGTAACAGAGAGGGCATGCAAAGATTACCTAGAAGAGCGACGAAGGCGTCCTGGCTCCCGAATGGGAGAGGGCCCAGACGGCGTCGTACAGCGGTTGGAAAAGCTCTTTGGTGCTGTGCGCTTGGGTTGAAAGTTAGACTTGAGCTGAAGAGAGATGTCAACAATGCCGAGCTTTTTCATTCTCTCAAGGTTTTCCTTGATTCTTTCTTCTCTGGACTGCTCGTACTGAGACTTGTTCTGGGTCTGAGAGGTTTGGGTTTGCTCATTGTTGCTTCGATTGTTAGGGTTTGCGACACTCTTCTTCCTCAGAATCGGCATTGTGAACTCACTCTTGTTGCTCTCTGTTTCTGACTATTGAGTTTTTGAGTCTCTGTATGTGATTTGAACCTCTCACCCCAACGGTCAAATTTGGAGCCCGAAATGGATTTTCGAAATTTCCAAGGAGGGAGAGTAGGGTTTAGGGCACAACTGGGCTTTTGTGTTTTCTTCTTATAGTTGGGATGGTATTTATTTTTACTTTTTACTCTCTTTTTTTCAAATTTGAAAAATCTTACCTTCTATATTTCCTTCTGCTTAGTTTTGGTTTATTGTCTTACCTAGTATTAGGAGAATGTTTCCAATTCCCAAAATAAAAATTGGGTAAAATAATAAGGGAGCTGATATTGGCACTCCAAAATAGTCATCATGCACTTCTCTTTAATGAATCAATAAAAGATAAGAGTGCTGCTAAACGAACCTTAAAATTAACTGAGTACACCCTATAATCTAAGTACACCCTAATATTTTAATTAAAATGTAAAATTAACTAAGTACACCCTATTTAACTATCAAAAATACCCCTGATACACCCTAATACAATCTATCACACAACACCCTAATTCCAATCCTAAATCAGGTTTCTATTTTACATAAATTCGTTGCCTCTTTTCAGATTTTGGGTTTGCATCAAAATCTTTAATTTCATGAGCTACAATGGGAGTAGATTTGCTAACTCCTTCAATTCAAAGCTTCATCATCTTACTTCTCTTTTCAACGGTGTTTTAGTGCACATGCACACAACAAACAAACTGAGTTATAAGGAAATCAAAGTGTGCATAATTTTAATTTCCAATAAGACAATAAAATAAGATTTTATTTGTTTATTTTTATCTATGTTGCTATTTGCCTTTCTTGGAGATCTGTGCATTGAAGTTTCTCTTTCATAATTCTCCTATTTCTCAGCTGTGCATACTCTCCCATAACCCATTACAGGTTTGCCTTCACTTTAACTCATGGGACAAACCATTAGGTTCAATATTCATGGCTTTGTTATCCTTTTTCAAATAAATGATTTTCATCACGATTGGTGGGCAAAGAAGCGGGGCCAAACTCAAAGGATTCTTTCGGAACACCATCTCATTCATCATCAGTCATCTTGAATGACGGAATTCAATGAGAAAACCTGTATAGCTCATTGGGTGGTACTTGAAACAAGATCCTTGTACCAAAACAGACTGACAAATCATTTTACTGGAACCAAGCAATACGAAAACTTCTCTAAGTTTGATTAGGGCTGAATATGGTGAGTATGGTGTACTTATTAAATTTGTATTTGTTCCACAATTCAATACATCCTTTTTCGTCATTTTATATTAGGGTAAATTAGTAATTCAATAAATAGTTTGGTAGTATGGTGTACTCAGTTAATTTTAGGGTTCGTTTAGCAACACTCAAAGATAATAGGAGTGCAGTATGTCTCTTTGGAGTGCTGGGTAAAATAATAAGGGAGCTGATATTGGCACTCCAAAATAGTCATCATGCACTTCTCTTTAATGAATCAATAAAAGATAATAGGAGTGCAGTATATCTCTTTGGAGTGCTAATAACACCACTTTCAAAAAATGTGTTGGTTTGACTGTCACCAACCATCGTTGAACTTAATGGTTATAGTTTTTTTTTCACGATTATAGTGGCCTCGTTAAAACATTCATAGGAAAACCACGTGGGACAAACCCTAGAGGAGGAAAAAGTACATGTGATGGACTAACAAGAGAGTCCAACCCGAGCGACATTGAACAGTTACAAAAACTAGAAAAAAGAAAAAACCTATTAAACACCAATACAATAGACCTACAGGACAAAACCGCAACACATCCCAACTGTTAAAAGAAGCCTTCTATGAGAACTCATAGTCCTTTGAATATCACAAGAACTGCATAGCACACCAAGACCCCATTTGGTTCGCGGGAAAGGAGTCTTGGAGATGAGAAATCAATTGTTTTCCCATGTTTGGTAAGAGCATCTCCAACCGATATGTCAAAAGTGCCACATAGACATTTAACAGCTAGAAATAACATCTCACACACTCCAACCGATGTGTCAAAGATGATGTGGAATGAAGGCTGAAGATTGAGATGTTATTTTTGACATCCCAAAAGCAAGATGTCAAATGAATATTTTATGATTTTTTTCTTTTCTATTCTTTTTAATTAAAAATAAATCAACACTAAAATGTAATAAAATAATAATTTAATTTGACATATCGGCTGGAGTGTAAAGCTGTGTAAGATGCCAAATTGCCACATCAGCCATCAAATTTAAATTTGATGTTTGGTATTTGACATCTCCCTTGAAGATGCTCTAAGTACATGCATGAGAAATGATTACTTAGCACATGGGAAAGTAAAGGGGAAAGTGAAGCCCTCTTCCCCTCTTGGGTTTTGTTTTCCCATTTCATGGGAAAGTTGGGGAAAATGAGTCAACATTAAATGCACATTTTGCATGACCATTTTTTCCCCCATTAACAATTTAGAATTACAATATAGCATTAAATACATTATTTTTTTATTTGATTTCATATAAGTATAATTGGAAAATTAAATAAACTTTGTTTTACATTCCTATGCAAACCAAACATGTGAAAGGAAATAAAGTGGTATTTCTTGGTTACTTTCCCAGCATTACCAAACATGGGAAATGAATCTTCCATTTCTCATCCATTGGGAAAAAACATGGGAAATTATTTCCCATCAATTTTTTTCCCCGAATGAAACAGGTCCCAAGGGTTAGAGACACAAGACAACACACGAAGGAAGAACACGGAGACAACATCAAAGAGGAACCCCAAACAAGCACACCAACTCAACTCAGAGCCTGACAAAGAAAACCTCTTATGACTAAGCATAGTTCTTCTTCGAATGGCGCAGAGATAAGAAAAACTGTGAAGGGTTAACACAATAGAAGGAGAAACAAAATTATAGTTGTTAAGAGATATTTGTGCTTAAATTTATGTGATTATGTATGTTGAACCTAATTGTTATAGTTGGTAACCCTTGTCTTTTATCTAAACCCAAATTTATTAGAGCTCCACGGGAGATGCTCTTTCTATCTTCTGACTTCCAGTATTTTTTATTTATTTAAAAAAAAACAATTATCTTCTGACAAGGAAAAAAAGTTCTTCAATTTTGTTCTTGAAATCACAAACGTTTTCAGCTTAACTATCCCAAATTTTATTGGTGCAGGAACCACCACTTCTCTCCAAATAATCCTTGGATTAAATAGCTTTTTCAACTCCTAAGTTCCTAACCAACCAACACCTAAGTTCCCCAATGACGTGGGCCCCTTTGTACTGTTGCAAAAGCAACCTAAAAGTTCTGGACAAGTTGAGAAAATTGCACCAATGTTGATCAACTACCTCATCAAAATTCGTGGCCGTAGACCTCTACAAAAAGAGGTCAAACCAAATGCAGCTGGATTTTAAAATCTTACAAGTTTCACCAATGGCTTCTTTTAGCTTCTCTCGTGAACAAGAAGTTGCTTATATACTTCGAATTGGTACTCAGTTTTCATCATCAACTTGCGAAGCATACGATGGCCATGATGAAATCTTGCAATACTGTGGCCTTGGTAGGCTTGGTTCTTTTGTTCACGATCCATTTGGCAAATGCTGCTGAAAATCAAGGGTTAGGAGCTTCTTTCATCTTTGGTGATTCTCTAGTTGATTCTGGAAACAACAACTATTTACCAACGTTGTCCAAGGCAAATATTGTTCCAAATGGGATGGATTTTAAAGCATCTGGAGGAAAACCCACCGGGAGGTATACCAATGGCAGAACCATTGGTGACATAGTTGGTACATGACCATGACTCTCACCTCTGTTAGAGATGTGATCCATAATGCATTCCTAATAATTTGTCATTTTTGCGTTTAACATGAAAACAAACCCTTTTTTTTGTTTGTGCAGGTGAAGAATTGGGGCAACCAAATTATGCACTCCCATATTTGGCACCAAATACTACAGGGAAAGCAATCTTGTATGGGGTGAATTATGCATCAGGAGGAGCAGGGATTATGAACTCAACAGGGAGAATATTTGTTAGCGAGCTCCCAACCCTCTATGGATTACTTTTTTTTTTTTTGGAGTATAATTTTATGCACTTTAAACACATGTTTTATCCAACTACAAAAGAATTATATATAAATCTTGGCTTGCAGGTTAATAGGGTGGGAATGGATATCCAAGTTGATTTTTTCAACCAGACAAGGAAGCAGATTGGTAAGCTGCTGGGCCCATCACCGGCAAAAGAGTACATTATGAAAAGATCCATATTTTCAATCACAATTGGATCCAATGACTTCTTGAACAATTATCTGCTACCAGTCCTCTCCATTGGAGAAAGAATTTCTCAGAGCCCAGATGCGTTTATTGATGATCTGATCAGTCACTTCAGGGCCCAACTCACTGTAAGTTTTATTTGATTGATTAATTTGGGTTTTTTTATATATTTTATTTAATACAAACGACAGGGTAATGAGGGTTTCACACACACACACACTACCAAAGTATCGTGAAGATTCGAACTTGAGACTACTGATATGCAAATCTTAATTAACATGTTTAGTGACAAATTAATTGGTGCAGAGACTTTACCAATTGGATGCTCGAAAATTTGTGATTGGAAATGTTGGTCCCCTAGGCTGCATCCCTTACCAGAAGACTATAAATCAACTAAATCCAGATGAGTGTGTGGAGCTGCCCAATAAGCTGGCTCGACAGTACAATGGCCGGTTGAAGGACTTGCTTGCTGAGCTAACTGACAACCTCCCAGGATCAACATTTGTTTATGCAAATGTGTATGATCTGGTGACGGAGCTCATCACAAATTATGACAAATATGGTAAAGCCCAAATCAAATATCATATTATATGAAAATATTTATGGTATTATTTTGACCCAAGATTTATCAAATTTTTATTTTTATTTGAAAGTAACTCAACAACTTATCCAACCTACATACAGTCTTGGTTTTTTCAAAACCAAGCTATGTATAACACGGTCCTTTTCTGAGTTCTAATAAAAAAAAACACAAAATTATATGAATATAGAGGGTCTAAGAATGTGCAATACAATGGTTCTGCCATATTCATCTTGATGGCCTTGACGTTAATATATTTGTGGAAGAAGAAGATCAATTAGGTTTCTTGTACATTAGCTATAATCATAATCTAATAATAATCATTCGACATTAATAGCCTGTGGCGGGGTAATTAATTGGTTAATGTCTTAATGATTATTATTAGATTATGATTAATGAAACCTGATTTCATTTGTGTATGCCGCATTGCAGGATTTACAACAGCAAGTAGAGCTTGTTGTGGAAATGGGGGCCAATACGCAGGTATAGTTCCATGTGGTCCAACGTCTAGTTTGTGCAAGGATCGCTCCATGCATGTTTTCTGGGATCCCTACCATCCCAGTGAGGCTGCCAATCTTTTACTCGCCAAAAAATTGGTTGATGGAGATACCAGATTCATTTCGCCAATGAATCTCAGACAACTTCGTGACCATTAAAACTTGTTTGTAGGATTATATCCTACTATTTCCGCCTTTATTTTGTAAACAGTAACAAAAATGTAAGCCCTTTCGAATGTTTTTATGCTTGGATTGGGAGATTTGGATCCACAGAGATTTATATATATATATATAGCTATTTTCTACTGAGTAGATTTTATAAATCTTAAAAGACATGACGTGTTGAGAAACTTCGCTTCCACCTAATTTTCTTCTGCTATAATTCTTGATATGGTTCAAGTTACCATCTGCAGTGCACGGAAAAGAGAGAAAGTGTTATATTGCCTGTGGGACATGCGCACCTTGGCTGTGTTTGGTCATCAAGTCCCACTAATTCTATAATTTCATTAATCTATGATCATGAGTAGAAAATAATAAAATATATTTCTTGACTATAGCTTTACTTTCACGAGTTTTGAGTGCTAATGGGTTAATTTCTTAATAAGTAATATGAATATGAGAGAAACTATGAATCAAACCTACTGAACTCAAACTTTCGCAAATGTATAAAAAACACTTGAGTTGTCTCTTTATTTATTTTACTCACAAATCTAGCATTAAGATGTTTTTAAAAAAATCGAAAGGAAAACATCGATTTGGTTTTGTTCCAACCAAGAAAAGCAATAACAAAACAAACAAAAAAAGTAGCTAGAAGTTCTTAGAAGCACTTATGTTTGGGGTAGATGTGAATATATTTTTTCTCAATGTGGGCACACACCCAAAATACGATCATTGGTTCATGTGAAGGAATCATGTCCATAGCAGAAAAATCCAAATATAAAAGAGTGAGACAACCAGAGAGAGAGAGAGAGAGAGAAGGCATTGAAAAATCTAAGTTGGTGAAGAAAAAAGGAAGAAAGGGAGGGAGGCATTGTCAGTGATAATAGGCGACCGAATAAGCAGACTGAGAGAGACTGAGATTGAGAGGATGGCAATAGTGTTTAGGACTGACAAAGCCTTTGAAAACGACCTATGATGCTTTGCCGAAGACATTTCTATGGCCTCTCAGCCTTCGCGTGCCATTCTTCTCTTGACCGACAACTACCTGTCTTTCTTCGCCACGTGTTACTTCCAAAGGGACCCCCCCAACCCCTACCTCACCTAGTAGTCCTTGAATAAGAGGTGAAAAAGGAAGAATCCGTTCATCTTATCCAAGACTTTGCAATGAAGACAATAATATAATACAACCTTTTTGTTTTTTTGGTTTTTGTGTGTTTTGTAGTGAATTAGACCCCTTACTTGGATTAAGCAATCACTGTGTTGTGTAATGGCCACTGTAGCAGTAAAAGTTTAAACTCTTATAAAATGAAGAGAGGGATGGAACTCGAGTGTAAAAGGATATGCACAACGCCTTCGTCATCTGGGATAACACAAATATGCATCACATGTGTATACTATCGCTCTATTTCTCTCATCATGTGATACGTCAATTTTGCCCTTAAGTAATTTTGTCTTTATTTTTAACCTCATTCATTGGAGAAGGTAAAAAGATGATGTAACAAAGCAAACACAATTTGCCTCACCCTTGACGTTGTTCCTTAAAAGATGATAACCCGAGTAAATCTTGGTTCAACACAACCTTTTTAAAAGAAGTGTTTGTTATTACTGTTGGAAATTGCGGCTCAAATTAGTAGCTTGTTGTCGATAGCTACAAATCGACCGGTCAGACCATTGTGGTATTCACTTTTGGTACAAATCGACTGGTCTGCCCCAAAGAGCGACCGGTCAACCCTTGTGAATTTAATTTCCTTTTGTTTGAATTCTCTTTAGTTATGTTTTGGGATTGCTTATCGGTTTGGATAAATTGCTCTAGTGGAACTTTGGTTTTGTAAGAAAGCCTATGAATATATATCATTATGGTGTTTGTTTCCTTGGCGTGTGATCAAAGTGAGTGATGAAGAGATATGTAGTGGCTTTGAAGGTTCGCCTCTAGGGTTGTTACATATCAAGTGAGAGAAAATTTGAGGATGGAAGAGTGAGTTTCTTTGGTGTGTTGTGGTCTCTTTATGGAGTTGGGTTGAGATGAGTGAAATTGGTTGTGAGTGTGTGAGGGAATAGTAATTTTGATATGTACTTAGTGAGTCATTGTTAATTATTGGACATCGAGTAATGTAATCTAATTTGGGGTGAATTTTGTAAATCTTATATGTTCTGTAATTGATTCTTTCTTTTATTTTGTTCTTTTCGTTATATTTGTGATATTTTGAGCTAGGAATTGCGCGTGAATTCCTAAAAAACATTCTTCAAAAGCGACAACTATACTAACCTTTATCTCCAATGCAACTTTGAGATGCATAAATTAGGAGGGCCAGTCCATGAATCTACCTTTCTGCTTTCAAACTAATCATTCAAAACATGCATGTCTTTAGTTAAGCTTTATATCATAAGGCATGGCTTGTCTATTAAGCTTGATAATAACAAACAATAATAAGCCCTTGCCTGCCTGATCAATTCACCTGTTCGTGCGTGGTTAATAATTTTTTAGGTACATAAAAATTATGAAAAGGTAGGGGTTATGATTTTGAATTATGTGTCTTGTGACAGAGGGGTGTAGGAGATTCATATCATAGCTCATAGGCCTTAGATTAGACATGGCTGTGTTTGGGTGGGAATAGGAAAAACCGGAATGGGAATAGAGGGAGAATTGTGTGTGTTGTTTGGGAATGGGTACAGTGTAGCGCGAAATGCGGTGAGAGGAAGAGGTACGGAGGAGGAATCTGATGCGGACATGACGCGTCCGAAATCAGAGGAGAGAACCAATAATTGCTCCCACGCTGTCCGACATTCATGATTCTGTCGGTACTGCCCCACCCACCTAATCCCAACACCCCATCAATCCCTCTCAACTTTGACGGGTATTGCCCGCTTAGCTTACTTCAATTTTTGTCTTCTCATCCCATTAATCTAGGGACTTCTTATCTAATCTTTGTTTATGATTATTATTGCAGAAAATATAATCTATATCTCATTCTAGTGTGAGATTCTTGATACGGCTAATGAGTTAAGAAACTAGTATATTTATAATCTTACGAGTAATATTCTCTCGTCATAAAGTATGATAACTCAAGATCGTTATATTGTCCGATTATCAATTTCGATCTTTATACTCTTCCACTCTTTTTATGGGAGATTCACTATTATACCCAATATAGGAGCTCAAATTATAAAAATACCATATATGAAATAGACTTTAGAAACACACCCAAAGTCCATTTACAACATAACAAAAAGACTTTTAACTTCTTTAAAATTACAAAATTGTCATTGATTTCTTAAAACAAACCGAACCCCAAAATCTCTTAAAAAAGCCTAAAATACTCAATAGGACATCAAAGTAATTTAATAATCAAAATTAAATTCAATAAGGCCAACTGTCATTTTTTTGGGTTTGTTTATTGAAATTAAATGATGTAGGATTTATCTATATTATTAATGCTAAGAATGGGTATATGAATAAATATCTAAAAAAAAAAGTTTAGCAGCTTATGGTTTCAATTTTAGAGAGAGGTAAAGTTTGAATTGAACCATCTTGGGAAAGACATGTAGCCCCTTTTCCCATTATTTTTTGTCGAGCACTTTTCCTATATTTAACATGTAGCCCCCCTTTTTTTTTGTTACTTTATTTAGCAATTAGAAAGATGGATCAAATTTTGTTGCAGAGGAGGAGAGCAAGAACCCTAATTCACATGAAACACAAATGCAAATCAACTTGGTGCATTGCATGCAAATTCAATTAAGCTCCTTTTTTCGTTTTTGTTTTTTGTATTTTGGTTCTTTAGTTTTTCTGGGTTTTAGATAACCTACAGAGCAAGTGCTGTACGTAGCCCAGACAATAGCTAGCTAGTAGCCAAAAAGCAATAAATATTGTAATCTAGCAAGTTCGTACGATATTATGGAGGGATCATTGGAATAAACCTTACCTTGTTTATATAATAATTAGTCCCCCCATGCACAGTACTTTCAGGCCTCAGAAGGCATGCATGCAAAAGGTAAATTGAAATCTCCGACCACAGGCGCTATCTGTATATAGAATATACATGCATACATACATACATAAAAACACAGAGAGAGAGAGAGATGTATGTATATATAATATACTTTCTGCAGAAACTTATGGATATAACCCTGATCCCCACCATCCAAATCATAGATTCATAGGTATAGGTAGGAAATTTAAATTAAACTTTGTAATTTTCAGCCCCAAAAAAAAAAAAAAAAAAAAAAGAATTTTATTTTTTTGAGGGTTCGAGCCCGGCTGTAGCTGTAGTTTTAGCCGACCCAAAACAGAGAAAAACAGAGGCTGTTCTGGAGCCGACTGAAATGTCGTGATTAACAGAACACACTGTAAAAGCCTGCTCACTCTGCTTCATATATGCCTCAGAAACCCTGTTTCACTATGCCACACCAGCACCAATCTCACTCTCCCACTCTCTCTCTCTCTCTCTCCTCCTTCTCTCTCCATAAAACCCCCTTCACCCCCTCCCCGCAAAAACCCAAAATCCCATTCTCTCATTTTCTTCACAATCATCTTATATCACTGCTCCAACAAAAATATCAAACACCTTTGATCAAACCACACAACCAAACCAAACTTAGCCGTTTGATTGAGACCCAAATGCCGTCGGACTCGAGCGATCAGCAGAACAACCAGAACCGGAGGCCGGCGAAGGCCCAGACCCCGGGTGCCCCACCGCCGGAGCAAGAGCACCTCCCTTGTCCGCGCTGCGACTCCACCAACACCAAGTTCTGTTACTACAACAACTACAACTTCTCCCAGCCCCGCCACTTCTGCAAGTCCTGCCGCCGCTACTGGACCCACGGCGGCGGGACCCGCAAGAACGCTAAGCGCTCCCGCACCACCAGCTCCTCCGCCATGATCTCCACCACCGCCACTTCCTCACTCTCCGACCACCCAATTCCCCCCACCCCAGTTTTTATGAACCCGGGTGGCGCCGCCGCGTTTGGGGACTTAAAGGGGAATGTGGGAAATGGATGCGGCGGCGCTAGCTTCACTTCTCTGCTCAACACTCAGGGGCCTGGGTTTTTGGCCTTAGGGGGGTTTGGTCTTGGGCTGGCCAATGGGTTTGAGGAGATGGGCTTTGGGCTTGGGAGAGCGGTGTGGCCTTTTCCCGGAGTGGGAGATGGTGGTGCTGGTGTTGGAGGTAATGGTGGGGGCCATGGGATGATGAACACGTGGCAATTTGAGAGTGGAGAAGGTGGTGGGATTGTGAATGTGGGTGTTGGCTCTGTTGGGGGTGAGTTCTGTTCTTGGCCAGAGTTGGCAATTTCTACCCCTGGAAATGGTCTCAAATGAAAAAAAAAGAAAAAAGAAAATATGTTCTCTTTTTGTCTCTCTCCTAATTCTCTCCTCCTCCTCCTCTTTTTTTGTATCTTATGGATAATATTTTGTGTCTTACTGCTGTAGACTTCTAATGATAGTGTTGAGGCTTGAGGCTTGAGGCTTGAGGCTAATTTAATTTGCCACTGAATTGCTACGTATCCCAATCCAAGAATTAAGTTTTTTGAGTACAAGAACAAAATGAGAATGAAATTGGCATCTCATCAGTTTTCAAATTCTGCCCAAAGGGCCACACTCTTTGCCCACAATTTTTGAGGTTTTTGAAGAATATGAGTTGTTCTTGAATCCATTGAGATTACCAACATGCATGCCCAAGCTGTATAATTTAATTTAATTCCCTGCAAGCCAAATCTTTGCTGTATCTAAATTAAGGGCAGTGCTCTTCACCCTCCCCGCATTTCTGTGTAAGAGTGGATGAGTATCTTCAAGGATAAGCATCAACAGCATTCTGATATGGAAAGGAAACAAAGAGAGCACCCAAATTTGTGAAATTCCTTAGGAAAAGGAGAACGTTAATGTGGGCAATCCAATTATTACAATTAGATCAGTACCAATTAACTCCATTCTCCAATCTCAACACCTGCACCACGAAAAAAGAATATCCCTTCACGCCGGGACGGAATTAAACTTGCTAATATGGAAACCTAATATGGAATTCTAAATTGAATTTTCTTTCGACAGATTGCCAAGTTTCATATATAAAGAGGCTCAAGTTTCATCAGTTTTTCACATTGTGAATGGTAGCTGCCTAGGCTGGTTTGTATCTCAAGTTTTGTTTCAGTATTGTAGTTGATCGTCTCCTATTTTTCTGCATAATGCAGGATTCAATCTTATACTCTGTAGTAGCTTTTATGCTACTTGTGACTGAGTTGCAAAGCTATGCTGGTAAGTCCTTGGCCTTTTTTGTACAAATAAATTTTCATATTGCTTGTGAATAAAATGGGGAGATGTAATTTAAATTTGATGTCTCACAATGCAGGAGCTCAGGGCATTGGGGCAAATTGTGGTAGACAAGGTGACAACCTTCCAACTCCGGACAAAGTAATCCAGCTATGTAAATCCAGGAACATTCAAAGAATTCGTATTTTCGATCCACAACAAGATGTTCTGCAGGCACTGCAAGGGTCAGGAATACAAGTCATCATAGATACACTGAACATAGATGTCCCAACCCTAGCCAATGATCCAGCATTTGCTACCACTTGGCTCCAAACTAACATCATTCCATTCGCTTCATCTGTCAATTTTTGATGCATATCCGTTGGAAACGAAATGGTTCCAAGCCAAAATGCCAGCAGCATACTCCCTGCCATGCAAAATCTGAGAACTGCACTAATTGCAGCCAACCTCAATATCCCCATATCAACTGCAGTGTTCCAAAATGTACTGGCATCACCATTTCCAAAATCTGCAGGAACATGGCATCCTGATGCAGCCTCAATTATGGTTCCTCTGGTACAATAAATGCAAGCCAAGGGCTACCCCCTTTTTTACAATGCCTATCCATATTTCGCCTACCGCGACAACCCGAATGACATTAGGCTAGACTATGCATTGATGAGCACCTCAGAGGTTATTGTAACGGATGGGGCTCTAGGGTACACAAATTTGCTTGATGCTTCCCTAGATGCTCTCTATTGGGCACTGGAGAAGGTAGGGGCACCAAATGTTGAGATTGTTGTGGCTGAAACAGGGTGGCCATCAGCAGGAGAAGGACATGATCCAGCAACTATTGATAATGCCAGAACATATAACAGCAATTTGATCAAGCATGGGCAATTTGGAACACCAAAGAGACCAGGAAAGGGATTGGAGGCATACATATTTGCTTTGTTCAATGAAGATCTCAAGACTAAGGGGTCTGAGTCTCATTGGGGATTGTTTTACCCAGACATGAGTGAAGTTTACCATGTTGATTTCTAATTAGGGAATTAGGTGTTCATTGTCATTGGTTAATAAGAATGAAATCCCTTTGTCGATTATAATTGGTCTCCATACGGACAACGGAATGAAATCTTTTGTTTGCATAAATTCTAAATATAGTAACCTTATGAAGATAATTTTTTTTCTCTTATATAATGATGATGCTGCTTTATAGTTTGGTCATTTAAAAACAAATAATTGTCAAAAAACTATGTTCATGGAACAATTTTTATTAATTGTTATTATTGCCATTAACTCCATAAGAACAATTTTTACTAATTTACAATTGTTTATTAACTAAACTGGCCAAAGTAAAAAGTCCAGAATCCAGATGTGAAATAAAGTTATAAACTGAAATAATCATTTATATTGGTGATTTTCAAATTATGCATAGGAAATCTTGCCCTTATTTAGGAGAGCATTTTTGCTCACCACTTTAACTCGAGGTTTAGTCTTACCATCTATCTCAACACTTGACATGTGGTTATGGGAATAACCATGATTTCAGAGATACGAAACAAACAGTTAACTATGGTTATGTCCATGAATACGTGTCAAGTGTTGAGAAGGATGGTGAGGATACACCTTAGGTCGAAACTTGCTTTTTGATATTATTTTTTTCTTTTTGCTTCAAAAGCATTTAAAACAAATTGAAAAGTAATGAGGCGAAAATGAAAAACTCAGAAAAATTTGTAAGGACTGGTTTTCCTTGTTGATAAAAAATGTTAGTTTCCTATTTCCTTTCTTAGCAAAAATAGTTTTTTTTTCTTTTGTCAACTTAGCAAAAATAGTTTTATAGTTTCTGTTTTTTCTTCTTAAGTAAATAAAAACACAATTTTTAAGGTGTGTGAGAAAAATCGGATGCGTTTGAAAAAAAAGAAAAAAGAAAAATCGGATGCAAAAATAAGATGATTCAATTTTCCTAGTCCACACTGGAACAAAGGGCGGGTCTTTCACTTGCCCTTTTTTCCCTCTCTAGGGTTTTAAACAGGGTCTTCTTCAATTTCGACCTCGATTGCAAACCAGACCAAAAATCCAACAATGGCATTCTCGTTTTACTCCACGCCACAGCCACAGCCACAGCAACAGCAGCAGTCGCTGTTTCAAACTCAGCAGCCCTCACAGCTTTTTCAGCAAAGCAGTCCCTTTTTCTCACAACAACAACAGCAACAGCCGCAGCAGCAATTTCAGCCACAGCCGCTTCAATTTCAGCAGCAGCAGCAGCAGCAGCAACAACAGCAACAGCAGCAGCAGCAGCAGCAGATGTTTTTGTTTACGAATGACAAGGCTCCGGCGAGTTATAGTACCAAGTGGGCTGATCTCCATCCCGATTCCCAGAAAATTCTTCTTCAGATTGAGTACGTTTTCTTTTATTTCTGTAAATCTTGAGCCTTTGTCTTGTTTTGCCATTGTGAATTTTTGGGTATTTGGCCTGATTGGTTGCTGAGAAAGTGTAGGGGAAGAAAGCAAAATTTCGAGTCTTTTTTGTTGTGTTAAGCAAAATTAGGCAAACTTGCTGCATTGCTCTCCATAAAGTGAATTACTTTTCCTCTATTAATTGGTGTAGTTTCATTGAGTTCCGTAGGATTTGGTGTAATATTTTTTGGATAGGTGAAATTTAATATGTCACGCTGGCATAACAATTAACAGTCTTGAGTTTACTTTTTGACTCGAATAATTATGAGCTGAGCTGAGACATAGTTTTATATATATGGGTTTTGAGGTTCTTAAGTATTGTTTGCTTGCAGGGAACGGATACTGGGGCATAGGGATGAGAGTCAGAGGCTGGATCAATGTAGTCGTCTCTACGATTCTTCAGTTTCAAATGATACTTTCGAGCATGATGCCAGTCGTATCCTTCAGGTTTGCTTCTTGGATAGATCAGACTTTCTAATTGCTAACTGTGATTTCTATTTGTCTTGTTGGGTGTGGTCTTGTGATTATGAGGTTTGTCATTGTAAGCAAACTGCTTCATTTGGTATTCTTGTGTATATACTATGGGGCTCATACTATGTTGGATCAGCGACTTCTGCCAGATCCTTTGGAGGCTTGGAAGTGTGCATACAGGACATAAGGGAAAATTAGTTAGCAGGAAATGTAGAAATGCTTCTTGGAGTCAGTTTCCTAGTGCTTGTCCTGTCACAGATGTTGGGTCTCTATGATTGATTCTTGAATAAAATAATGAAATTTCTATACATTAGTTTTCACATAACAGCATGAAAGGAGCTCTTTGCCTGTAGATCCCATATTCTCTTAGTTGATTGTAAGTGATATATAATTTCCTGATTCCCTGATGTATTTCCAACAAGCAAACAAAACTCATATCTTACCCATAATGCTGTTATTCAAATTTTGTGCAAATATCCTCAATCTTATGGGCATTTTATTATTCTTTGTTGATGTTGTTTTCTTCTAATTATTAAATACATATTTGGGTATAAGTTGCTGAAAAATGCGACGACGTAGATGACTTCTGACATAATGGCATGCTTGTTTACTTGAAAGGAGAACGAAAGAATGTGAATCATTCCCATTCCTCTTTAGTCCGACATTTACTTAGAAGCGAATGTTTTTGATGCGGACATCATTAGTTAGTTTCCTGATTTATTAGTTTCCTAGATTCTCAAGTTTTCCAGATTTCACTAGGATTTTAGTTTCCTGATTTTTAGTTGGATTTGATTTAAGTTTCCTAGTTTATTTTTACTTAGTTCCTTGGTGGATTAGGATTTCTGTTTTAGTAAGGGATTTTTATCCTATTGTCTCTAGGTTTTAGTTTGCTATAAATACCCCCCATGTAGTTCTTTAAAATTCAGTTGTTGAGATATAAAGAAAAGCTTATTTTCCAGAGATTGGAGACCACTTGGTGTGAAGCCAAACCCCTGGTGTGAAGCCAAACCCCTGGAGTGATTCCAGACCTATCCCTTTTGTTCTATTTTCTGTTTTCCATTGTTTTCGCTTCCGCTAAACTACCTAAATACTCAATTCACCCATATCCTACATCAGTTTTTCTTTTGCCATTTTAAATATCTTGTATGCAAATTGTCTGTATATATTTTGCGAGGGCTCATGGTAGAATTATTGTTATTGGCGTTTATATATTTCATTAGTAAGTATTTGACGATAATGTAATTTATATTGAATAAAGGACATTTTATAATCAAATTGGTTTTAATTCTGATATCCCTGAGAGAGAAAACATATCAACGGTAACAAACCTCATTCTCATTCCATTCCAGTTCCAGACAGCTAGTATTCATCTTAATATGAGTGCCTCATTCTGATTCTTTTTCATTCCCTTCCAATTCATTTTCATTCTGATTCTACCATAAGTGGAAAATAAATTCACTTGTGAGATCTTATACTCAAAACTTCATGGCTTTTAACTTTTGTAGAAGTACATTTCATATTACTGTTAGATAAGAGGGTTGACTTTTGAAATCTTGTAATGATATCTTCTGATCGTGTTCATGATAATTTGATAGCCTTGTACCTCTTCTTTTGTTTGATGTCAATATTTTTTTGTTGTTGGATGATGTCAAGACTTAAAATTGAAAAAACTGATCAGATTGACGGGAAATATAACAATGGTACCCACCAAAATAAATTAAAAAAGAAAGGTCTGGTGCAAGTTCTAGGACTTTCAATGCCATTTTCTTATATTTCTAATTGTCAATGTATGGTTTAATTACAAATTCTTTTGTTATCTATACAGGAACTTGGGGGAATTGGTACTGCCATGGACCGACAGAAAGCTCTTCTGCATGAGTTGATGGCTATTGTGAAAGATATGTTACGGAACAGCGAGGTTGCTGTTCGTACTTTCATGATTTTACGCCCACGGTTTCTTCATCCAAATACAGGAGGTACTTCAAATGCCATTGCACCGTCACAGGGTTCTGGAGCAACCGCACCACCTGGTTCAAGTAGTCAACCAACAGCTACTTCTATAGTGCCAGTTTTTGATTTCTACAACGGGCTTCCAAGGAAACCGTCTCCCTTCCTACAGCAAACAATTGCAAGATTCGAGAAGTATCTTGTTGAGTGTCGTCAGTGGATTGAAGAATTAGAGCAGCTTCTTTTAGCCTCAGAGAGGAATTCTGCCAATGATGGCTCCTCATTGTTGCAGTCTCTTCCAAAAGTCATGTCAAATGTGCATGACTTTTTTGTTCACGTGGCAGCTAAGGTAAATAAAAACAATTGTATTTTGTTTAGTTAAAGTTAATCATTGAGATATGCAGTAAAATATACTTCATTGTGGCTTTTATCAGCTAGAACCTGCATTTTGTTGGCCTTATATGATAAGCACGCTGCCATAACTTGTGGTTTTTATTGTTTAAACTGCTGTAAACAAATTATTTTCATATATTTTGTTTGTGGGTGGAGAAAGATTTGCACAATGGTAGTTATATCCATTTTGACTTGCATGGTCATTTGTGATAATTTGTATCATTTAATGGTTTCAAAGAAAAATAAACAATACAGCTAAAAAGAAATCTCAATACTGGCTTCTCACTTGTTTGATGCGTGCGGCCTACATTTTGAGCACAAATGAAGCTGAATAATGTTTCTTGACACTTAAAAGTTACTAATCAATAATATGATCCGTTTCTTAGGTGGAGAATATTCACCAGTACATTGTATCCATGAAATCAGCTTATCTTGCTAACCAGCGCCGCCTAGGGGATGGGAATGATCCATTTCTCGAGGCTGATCGCCGGGAAACAGCTAGGCAAGAAGCTGCTGCTAAGAGGGTGCATCCAACTTTGCATTTACCTGCAACTTCACAACCATCAACACAAGTTGCTGGATTGTTTGCCAGTTCAGGAACTCAGGGGGCATCACCTGCCCCCCAGATATCTACAGCTGCTATTACAGCTTCCTCCGGGAGTGGACTCTCACTTTTCAACACCCCTTCTGCTCCATCTTCTTCCATGTCTTCCTCTCTGTTTGCTACACCAATCACCTCTGGTCCTATATCTTCTCTTTTTGGATCTTCCTCTGCTACGCCTCAGACGTCACTGTTTAGTTCTTCCTCAGCATCTTTGTTTGGAGCTGCTTCAACTCCCTCTCTGCTAGGAAATACTGCTCCAGCCTTCGGTTCAACTACTCCTACTGGAAGCTCATTATTTGCTTCAGGTTTATCTCATTCTTCTTAGTTCTACATTGGGACCTTTACATTAAATTGTCAAAATTATTATTCTTTATAATTTCTCGTTACTTGTTCTACATCAGATAGTGTATGGTTGAAGACATGCAGAAGTCTTTTGCTATAAAGATCTACAATTTTACATTGCCAAGATTGTGACGGTACTAATTAGGATATTTTATCACTTTTTCCAGGTGCTCCTGCAACAGGGCTGGGGTCTAGCTTTACTTCATCGGTGCGTGAATCTTCTTTCAGCTCTCTTAGTTCAGTTAATTTTCACTTCATATAACTTAAGTTTGTTCCAGAAACAAACATGGGACTCAAAGATTACCAAACTTAAGCTCTATGCTGCAGATATGATTTGATTTCCCATCTCTAATAATATGGTTTAGTTGAGGTGCAGTATACATCTACATCTACTGAATAATCTCTTCTGTGTATTCTAACAATTGCAGAAATCAGCAAAACCAAAAGGCCGGGTTGGCCGGCGGTAGCTGCAGTGGTTTCAGGTCACACAATGTGGATGAAAGCTCTTATGCTAGAAAACGTCTGTGTTCTTAAAGTGTCGAGAATTATTCTCTTTGTTCTCTGCGTGACTTGAGTGTGGCTCATTTTTCTGTGGAGTGAACGGATCTCCAGAGATATATCACTAAATCCAAGTCCCAAGAGAATCATATTTCATTTCAAATGCTGCTCAGCCATGTCGTCTGTGTACTGCCTCCTCGCTGCAAACGCTTTCTGCGTGCTGTAATGTTACAATGAGATGTTGGAAGATTCATGTCACCAACTTCACTGTATAATTTTAGGGTAGAATCTAGGTCCCAATTTTTTTGAATGTGTTGACAAGAAAAAGTGTAGGCCCATCCTTGAGATAGACATGTTTGATCTGAGATGTCAAATAAACATGTGAAATTGTCTAATGTTGGATTTGTTGGTGGGTCAAGTTGTGCCAACCATGTGCTGATACTCAACCTCAAGAATGTTGTGTTCTCCATGTTTTTTGTTTGATGTGTGAATTGAATTCTCATGAAAAATCGTTTGAACCACCTGAAATAGGTTTTATTTATTTTTTATCGCTCTTCAGTCTAGTGGAAAAGGCATTAACTTACAGACAAGTGGTGTCAGGTTTGAATTCCATGACACCTTAATACTTGATAGCGTCCTTCCCCCTTGTAGTTTAGACTATCACTTATATCTTGAAAAAAATGACACAATCGAATCATGGCTCTACTCGCCATAAATTGGAGGAGATTCTAAGTTCAATTCTCATTCTATTGATTCACTATTTTATTTTTATGGCAGTAAGGCCATTCTCAACTCATGAGGCCAAACTCAAAATATCCCAAAATATAACCCAACACCTTTCCTAACCCAAGAAAATGAAGGGGCCAAAATTTGAGAAAATCCAAACTTGGACTCAAATAGTAGTCCAAGTATTGCCTGGACCCAAAAATATTCGGTGGAGCCCACCTGTATCTGAAGCAGCCCACCTGCATTTGCTCCTGCTGTGCTACTGCTTTATGGTAGCTTGTCGCGCCACATGTCAAGCTCTTGTGAAGTTGCCGTTGGAATCCAACAGCAACAATTCAATTCGTTTTTTTTTTGTATTCTAAATGTAACTTAAATCAACAATCTAGATTAAATCTAAACTATTTTAATGGTAAAAAAAAAGATCCAATTGCTGAAATTTAAATCCAAAGGTCAAAATAATATTTTAAATTAATCTAGATCATATCCAACCCCAAAAATCACTCCAAACTCTATAAATACCCATCCATTTCTCAAATAATATACCAAAAATATTTTATCTATTTCTCAATTTATTTTTCCTTTGTCAATCTCATCAATCTCCTTTCATTCTTATTGAAGATGTCCACAAAATCTCAAAGAGGTGTGAATTGGAGGCCCGAAGAAGATGAGGCGTTGTGCAAAGGGTGAGTTTCTATCAGTGAAGATAGAGCTATTGACACCAATCAAGCAAGCGACACATTTTGGAAGTATGTATATCAAAAGTTTCTGGAAAATGATCGGGGCATTAGTGGACCCAAGCGATGAACATTCAAGCCATTGCTTATTGGTTCAAGACTATCAACCAACAATGTTCTTTTTGGAAGGCGTGCTTGACTAAGGCCAATACGAACCCACAAAGTGGCTCAAATTTACATGATGTGGTAAGTAACCATTCTTATTAAAGCTTTAAATTTATATTTGTAATTTTATTCAACTCCAAACTTAGATTTATTTTTTCATGCGTAGGACGTGTATGCGAAAAAGATATTTCTTAATGATAATTAGCCTTCAAATAGGCATTTCAAGTTGTACCATGCTTGGGAAATCTTAAAAGATTGCCCAAAGTGGAATGATATAAACAAGCCTCCCACACAACGTTCTTCTGGCTCTAGTGCAAGTATGGTGAATTTGGATAATGACGTAGACGATATCACCATGCCTAGTCCAAGGCCTAAGGGGTGACATAAACAAAAGGCTGCAAAAAAAAGAAAAAAAAAGAAAAGGGGAAGATGACTGACCCTTCTTAACAAACAAGGTATAAGCACTTGGAATCATTGGTTGAGCAAGGTATTGCTTTCGAGGAGGATAGGAGACGAAAGCTTAACATATTGGACAAGTTTGTCAAAGATCAAGCTGATGCTTATGCGTATCAGAAGCAACAAGAAAAGGAAGCCCAAGAACAAAAAATAATGTCCATGGACATGTCCAAATTTACTCCAAGAAAGAAGAAATATTAGGGGAATAAACAAGATGAAATTATGCAAGAACATGCATAGGGTCAACAGTCTACCGTTAATCCTGAAGACAACTCAAGGGACTATTATCCAAGCCCCCACGATGGTGGTTATTAGTTTATTCCTATTGGGTTTCATGTATGGTGAATTTGAAGTATTGTGTGTTTTCTTTTAGAATTATGTTGTGTGTTTTCTTTTGGAATAAAATTATATTTGTGGAATTTCAAAATTTTTTTTTATGTCAAATTGTTCAAAAAATTTAATTATGAAGTTATTTAAAAAGATTGAATGAAGAAAAGTTATTCATTTAAAAAAAAATTAGACTTAAACTATTTTTAAACAATTTAATAAAGTTGCGGACTTAAAATTTGAGTCTGGAAGGTTGGGAGAAAAAACGATTTGCGTTCGGGGAAAACCCAAATAGTTACTTTTTGAAGGGAAAAAATTTAAATTTAGCCCTAAATAAGTTGGAGAACGCCTTAACTAGACCATAAAATAGAATGTATCACATTAATAATGATAATGACTCTTCAGTGTCCATTGGTTCATTGTACAGTAGTAATGACTATGACTCGTCACATCTTGTGACTGTCCATTTGTAGTTCCTTCATGTCTACAAGTGTACCTTCACATGCCTCTGATTACCTAAGCATAGTGTCGTTTTTCTGTGTACGCAGTTCGGTTCTTCTAGTTCATGTATGCAATGCAACTTGCAAGTGCCAATATAATGTATATTCACCCACCCAACTTGTATAAATTTTTGTGGTGGCTATGTTGTATGTACTGGTAAAGCTCTTGACATTTGTCCTAATTACTATATCCAGCTATCTGATTCAAATCATAACTTGTTTTAAACTCAATTAAGTCCTCATCGCATTCTTCACTTAAGGGGAACTTGTTCCTACTAAAGAAGCAGAGGCAATATGTGTATAATTGAAATTAAAGTTGTCAACCATTTGATCTCAAAAGTTTAGATTGTTAGGAATGAGCCGACAATTGAAAGACTAAATTAAATTAATAAAACTTCACAAAATATAGGATAAAAGTTATCTTTATAAAAAGCCTAAAGATCCCATGTGAACAACAAATCACCAACAGAGAAAAATGGCAGCACCAAAAGAAGAGAAGCATTTTGTTCTAGTACATGGGGCTTGCCATGGCTCCTGGTGCTGGTACAAGGTCAAGCCAAGGCTAGAGTCCGCTGGTCACAGAGTCACAGCCTTGGACCTTGCAGCTTCAGGCATCAACACGAAGGCTATACAAGATGTTCACTCTTTAGCAGAGTATTCTGAGCCTCTGTTGGAGTTTATAGCCTCACTTGGTCCAGAAGAAAAGGTGATCCTTGTAGGGCATAGCCTCGGAGGCATGAGCTTGGCCCTTGCCATGGAAAACTTCCCACAGAAAATTTCTGTTGCTGTTTTCTTGACTGCCTTTGTGCCAGATACCACACACCAGCCTTCACATGTTTTGGATCAGGTATGGCATAATTATTTCAGAGCTCAAGGGGTGTTAGCTATGTGGTTGAGAATACCCCACGGCACTCTGTGTGTGAATACCACCTCCCCTTCCTAAATGAGGCAGAAAAAAAAAGTAGCTTATTTGGCTTTTTTAGCTCTAGCTCCCCAAGAATTAACCAAAAGAACAATAAAACCTCTTATTACAGATAATTAAGTCAATTTTAATTGTTTCTTTCATGCTTCTTAGTTACATTCTGATATCTGATTATGGTAAGATAATTAACAAAACAAATGTGAATAAACTCTAATTCAAGCCAATCCAATCCAAAACCTAATATAAAATTATTTACTATATATTATGAGCAACTTTAATTATAAGCCCTGGTTCTCAAAGAAATCGTGTTACTTTACTTTCAGCTAATTAGTCTATTTTTTTCCTATTGTTAGTCAAAAGGTAAATGATTAAATTACAATGTTTACGCTAATCGTGTTTGTCAAAAGGTATGATTAACTACATGGTTAATTAATTGCTAGTGGTCGCCATAAATTAGAAGAGATTCTAAGTTCAAATTTAATTCCATTGATTCGCTATTTTATTTTTATGGCAGTAACAGACCATGATATAGAATGTATCACATTAATAATGATAATGACTCTTCAGTGTCCATCGGTTCATTCTACAGTTGTAATGACTATGACTCGTCACATCTTGTGATTTTCCATTTGTAGTTCATGTCTACAAAGTGTCATATTTGACCCTCACATGCCTATGATTACCTAAGCATAGTGTCGTTTTTCTGTGTATGCAGTTCGGTTCTTCTAGTTCATGTATTAAATGCAAGTGCAAATACAATGTATTAAATGCAAGTGCAAATACAATGTATTAAATGCACGTGCCAATACAATGTATTCAATTCCGTCTGGTTTCAGTCAGTTTCAGTCATGATAAGTGGCACCCACCTAACTCGTATAAATTTCTATGGTGGCTATGTTGAATGGCTTGTTTTCAACATATCCAGCTATCTGATTCAAATCATAACTTGTTTTCAAGTTAAAACCTCAATTAAGTCCTCATCGCATTCTTCACTTAAAGGTTAATTGAAATTTCCGGCCCTTTTCAAAAAATTTAATTGATAAAAAAATCAAGGGGAACTTGTTCCTACTAAAGAAGCAGAGGCAATATATGTATAATTGATGTCAACCATGCGATCCCAAAAGTTTAGACTGTTAAGAATGAGCCGACAATGTATATCATATTAACACTATCTCGTATATAATCTCATCTTACAGGTAGAAGGGGAGATAATGCAAATCGAGATAAGTACACAAGTACTTCCCCACTCTGTTGTCTGTTACTTGCAAACCAACAAAGATTTGTGGAAGGAGACTAAAAGATTCATATAACTAGACCTTTAAAACCATGTTACAGAAAATGTACCAACAATTAAAAGACTAAATTAAATTAATAAAACTTCACAAAATATAGTTAAGTCATCTTTATAAATAACCTAAAGATCCCATGTGAACAACAAAATCACCAACAGAGAAAAATGGCAGCACCAAAAGCAGAGAAGCATTTTGTTCTAGTACATGGGGCTTGCCATGGCTCCTGGTGCTGGTACAAGGTCAAGCCAAGGCTAGAGTCTGCTGGCCACCGAGTCACAACCTTGGACCTTGCAGCTTCAGGCATCCACACGAAGGCCATACAAGATGTTCACTCTTTAGCAGAGTATTCTGAGCCTCTGTTGGAGTTTATAGCCTCACTTGGTCCAGAAGAAAAGGTGATCCTTGTAGGGCATAGCCTCGGAGGCATGAACTTGGCCCTTGCCATGGAAAACTTCCCGC